CTGACATTTACATACAAGTCTGACCTAAACAAGTTAGTAATTTATAGCATGTTCCTATTTGACCACCATATTTGAAATCAATCATAAAGTAAAAAATTGGCATTTTCAGTCATTTTATAAGAAGTTTCACAACATATTTTTCTAAAAGTTGTATTACATGGTCCCTTTGTCTAAAAACTAACCCTAAATTTTCCAGGTGAAGTATTATAATGTCTCTGAAATGCTTTTTAAACTCATCTTGTCTACAATACACTAGGAGGAGGAAACCATATTCCATTGTGAAACTTGTGCTTTGCTTTTCACACGTTTCATAATATGTGTGTAGCTTTTGGTTATATATATAAAATCCTTGGCTTGGGAAAGATGTATTAGTCCAGTAATCAAACCTGCAGTAAGACTGTTAATTAAAAATCATTTATTGTTTCTTCCTGACTAGACTTTTCCTCTTTATCCTATTATATTGTATGGAAAATGACTGGCTATTTGTTCATGTTAACAGCAGAGAATCAGGTGTCAATTTTTCTTGCTAGGCACAAATGTTAGGAAGATTTAATATCTGCCCAAGTTTATAAATATGTTCCATTGCCCCAAGACATAAATCTTCCAAAGACATATATAAGGCCCCATTGCCTATTTGGTGATTTGGTTCCCAAATCAGGTCCCTGAATCTTGAAGAACTACCCTAGAGTTTAAAAATTAATCATCTTCATAACCATCATATTACCAGCCAATAATTTTTCAAATTATTGTTTCTGAATTCATCTCTCTCTTTTGCATGAGTAATATTTTCAGTATTTTACCAGAAGCACAAAGCTTCCTAATGAAATCATGTAAAAACTTATCAGGATGCCTACTTAAATACAAAAATAAGAATCTTACAAAGAAACCAGAAGTACTGTGCTCTGTCCTCCAAAATGAAACTGACCACGGAAAGGTTGTCCTGAATTTCCATTTGCTCAGGAATGGGGCAGCACAAAAAAAAAATATTTTAAATGTCCATCACCACCGTTACTAAGGACAATCTTAGACGAAAATTAGAACACCAGGCATTTGAAAGATATTTTCTTATCCATAAATTACTTTGGTAAATATTTACACATTTTGGCAATTTCAATTACATAACACTTGTCAATTAAAAAGAGAACTTTTTATAAACACAAGAAAGGAAAAGTGGTCACATACAAGCTGGGTAAGGGTAAGCAGTGGTTTTGTACAAAGGCTGCCAACAAAGCAGCCTGAGGACTGAAAGTCAGGCACTGAATAATGTTCTTCAGTGATATATTTCCATTTGGGTGATGCTGCTAAATCAGCCCTCACCTTCCTCAAGATAACCAGTAACCTTTAAGAGGAAGGAATCCCAAGTATCCCAAATTTGCTGTAACTTGTTCTAAAGGGGAATAGGTAACAAAAAAAATTCTGATCTCTAGCTTGCCATAACCACCCTCAGGAAGGCAAGGCACTTATGACAGCTAATTTAATTGTCCTGTGTTAATGACGTTTATGAACTCCTTCTACCCAAAGGGTTCCCTTCATGCCGTGGTGGTGGTGGAACGCAAACTTGCGAATGACACAGGGGGGGCTCTGGTTTCCCGTATATGCTAAACCAGGTTAACTACAAGATTTTCACTGCTTATAATTGTTTTTATAATACTGTATTGCAATTCCATGTTTTGGCTTTTGTATTTTTCTTTGTTGCAAGTTTTTTTTAATTTCCCAGCAATCTGTTAAATTAGAATACGAAGGCTTTAACAGTGCAGTTTCACTTTCTTGTTGCTGTTGTTGCCATCAAGTCACAGATGACTTACGGCGACCCTGCAGGGTTTTCAAGGAAAGAGACGTTCAGAGGTGGCTTGCCACTGCCTGCTTCCAACACCATGACCCTGATATTCCTTGATGGTCTCCCACCCAAATACTAACCAGGGCGAACCCTACCTAGCTTCTGAGATCCGACAACACTGGATATATGCAAAGAAACACATCTGCATTTCATAAACAAATGATCTTGCTGTAACACTAATGGTCTGCTCATTCTATACCTGTTTAACAGGCCTAACAACAGACTCTTAGCACTAGTAATTTGTACAGATTTTCCCCCAAAGTGATTTAAAGAAATCTGATATAGAATACTGTAGTGTAAAATAAAGAGCACTGTATTTCTACAGAGCACTGCTTGCTCATATCGTAAGGAAAACGTTATGTGGTACAGTATCATAGTTATGTGTGATTTAGATATTACCACCATCATCTCCATTTCATAAGTTAAAAAGCTGAATTAAGAAAAATGAATATTTAGTCCCAAAGCTGCACATACAGCATATCAGCCACAGAACAGAGAGTACATTTGTTTCTTCTGCTTTCTGGACGTGTATTTCAAGTACTAAAGTTTGCTTCATTCAGCCAGTACAGTGTCAAGATGTTCCTTTTGCTTCTGTTTAGGCCAGCTCTTAAAAGTGCATTCTCACAAAAGAAGGATTTTGCTAAGATGTAAATATCTTTCTCATTTGATTCTTCCATTTGCAATGAGAATGGTCTAATTTGCACTCATAGGCAGCATTCTTCATTAGAAACATGAATTGATATTTCTTTTTATACAATAGTGTGTTACTTTTTAAAGTTTTAGAGTCCAGCAACCCGTACACTGGAGGAAAATACACACTTGGAAGAGTTCTCAAGTTTTAGCCATCTATTTTTTTCTGTAGCCACTTGATAGTTTTGGTTATTGCTTTTTTCCTTTCTTTATTTTTAGATTTTGCTGTCAGCAGTATGTCATTGGGAACTATTCTTTCTTCTTCTGTAAGTGTATTGTTTAAAAAAACCTGGACCTAAAATCAATAATAAATACAGTAAGTTATTCAAAGGCGCATTATCACTTTTGTTCAGGTGCACTTTTCCCCTACAGTTGTGATTACTATCCTGCATACTTACTGCCCAGTCCCAAGTCCTATATTCTTGTTCTTCGTGGAAGGACAACATTGAGGAATGACTCAAGACCAGATGACATAAATTCACATTAATTTTCTCCATACCAAATTATGACTGCAATTGCTGTTAATCCCCCTCTCCTGCAGACTCTGGGTTGGATCCGGCAACATGCTTGTGCTAACAGAAGATGCAAGAAGGGTGATTTCGTCCCCTTTCCCTTCCTCACTGCCCACTAACCAATGTAGCTATTACTCCACATGGGTCTTGCAACCCCAAGAATCTTTCCCAGAATTGGAAACAGTTATTGTGTTGAAGGGAAAGCAGAGAAGATCTGCCACCATCAGTGCCTTTCATTTGCACATCACTAGATGCATTCCTTTTAGTTTCAGAATGGTCAGAACTGGCAGCAGCTGCTCTGATCAGTTGGTTATCCTCTCCTTCTGGGTATTAAAGCCTGAACAGGACCAAAGACAATTCGGGGGGGGGGTGTGTGTTAGGAAACTGAGTTTCATCTGGGCTAAGTTTGTCTTCTTCTCCTTGTAGGTGTTATCAGCCAGACCCCTCCTGCGGAAGGGTAGTTTGAAAGTAGACGCCACTCTTTCAATATCACCCCCCAAATTATGTGCGTACTGTACAGCCTGGCCTGGAAGTGGAACAAAAATGGAGCTGGAATCAAACAAAATGGATGCTGGGCAGAGACAAGCCTGGGAAACTATTTTGCGAAGGTGATTTAGGGTACTGACTTGCTAATAGCTCTCCCCTCCACCCTAAAAAAATACTTAATCTCAACAATGGGCTTCTCAGGAAGGCAATACCCCACCTTGATGCGACCTCGTCACATCTGGTTGTGCTTCCCCTCGCCCATTTACCTTGATTAATAAGCTATTCATATAACCCGATAGCCTCTCCCATCCTGTACTTAAGGGTCATCAGAGAACATTAACACTTTCAGATTACATCAGACAAATCCACCAGGCATCCAATTCATGCAAACTGTCACAGGTTTCCCCAGGTCTTTGTTCACCCTGGGAAATCCAATCAAGGTATTGTGTTAGGGACACACATACATCAGACCGCCTGATGATCATTTTTTCCTATAACTGGACATACTCTGCTCCATGCAGTGTGTGGATGTTCTCAGCACTAACATTACACCCCCACTTTCTGTGGGCTTCTTGCATCTCTCCAGGAAACACTGGCCACTTCCCTCGCCATCTTCTGCAGACCTTGATCTCCAGGACCTGGTAAATACTGCCCTCTCCAAATCCTTCCCCACTATTTCCTTTTCTTTCTTAGATAGTTTGTGTGTGTCCCCCGTGTGCTCTGTATGTATGCCATACTCTTATTCTTTTGTAATAAAACAGCTTTCCTGTTGTACTTGAGTCTGGTTTCTTTGAGAGTTCTCAGGGAACCATCCCTGTAAGCATTGCTGGAGACCCCCTAGTTACCCCCTCTCGCTTGTCTCCAATTACATTAATTCTCCCAATTAATATCAGAGACACTTCCTTTGGGTAACACAGGTACTTAAAACCTGGGTGGTATCAGAAGCAAGTGCTCTTGAGTAAGAGCCAAGGACTCTTGTCCCTTGTCCTGTGCCTTGCAGCTTCAGGCCTGGTGTGAAGCAGCCTTGTGCAACAGGACCCAACCAGGATCTACTTGTTTTTTTTTAATTGTGTTACTTAACTTGGTGATTTGCATTTTGGTAAGTGTCTGTGGGCTGCTTTAGGTCTTTTAAGGGGAAAAAGTTGCATACAAATGCCATAAATATTAACAGTGGACAGCATCCTAGATTAGATGCAATTAAGCATTTGGAATATGGGGCAGCCTGGCCTAATTGCCTTCCCTCTAGGATACAAAAAACATTAAAAGTCTGATTGAGACAATCTGTCCCCCCCTTTTTTTTTCCTTTTTAGGTGTCAGGGTCATGGGCAGCAGTGAAGCAGAACCTAAGACCAGGAATCAGGAGTCTCAAATGGAGTAAAGAGCAAAAGCCAAGACAAGAACCAGGAGCCACAGTTTCTAAGAAAACTGGAAGTCTAACTAGGAGGTCAGAAGCCAAGACTTTGTAAAACCACATGTCAGGAGCCAGGGTCAAAAAGCAGAAAGAAGACACAAAGCACAAGGACCAGCAATGAAGAATGCTGAACAGATATGCTTCCTTGGGGCTTTTTAGTTGCTTCCTAAACCAAAGAGTCAACAGGAGAAACCTGACCCAAAGAGTGTTGGAAGTGAAGGACATTACGCTGTCTTTTAGCCTCAGACTTCGGGGGGGGGGGGGCTACAAAAGAGTCAGAGAAATAGATCGGCTAGGACACTAAATATCTTTTCCTTCTCTTCTGATGCTATCCCTTTGATGTGTAGATTCTTACTCTTAGGGAAAACTTCCTTCCTTCCACTTTGACTCTCCCCACTTTGCCAGACTTCTCCATCTTGGCAGCATGACAGCAGGTCATGTTAGACTAGATTAGAAATCTATCTCTATCCTGTCTAGAATGGAGTTCCATATAATAAAGGACTCTCATTAGATTGCAAAGATAAAGAGGCTCCATGTAACTTTGTTCCTGCAGCACACACACTGACCAGATGGGCTCTGCTGGGTTATAGCCTTGAGCACTCTGCTAACTACTGGAAAATAATTCCAACAAAGAGTTTTGGGAGGAATCTTCCCTGAAGCACACAGAGATTCCTATAGACCCTGGAAACTGTTTATTCAGCAACTGGTGCTGGTAGAGGGTGGGAGGGAATTTTCTGGGAGATGGGGGGTGGGGCGACATCACCGCATGTAATGTCCCCAACATGATGGCGTCACACAGAAGTGATGTCATCATGCTGGAGGTGTCACAGCAACGCTCTGGTTTGGGGGCAAACTCTCTGGTAAAATTGGGCTCAACCTATAGAGTTTTGCCCAAAAACCAGAGTGTCGCTCTGTGACACCTCCGGTGTAATGACATCGCTTCCACATGACGTCATCATGTCAAGGACATCGTGCGGGGTCGTGACTGTTGGGGGTGGGGCTTCCCCCTGCTGGCCAGCTGGCCAATGGCAGGCAGAAGCCCATGAAATTGGGGGATCCCCCACTCCCACCTGGGAACTGGCAACCCTATCTGGTTTGCCACATAGGACAACAGCACCCCCAGTCTCAAGCGTGTCATCTGATATCCCCACAACTGTAGACATTAACTGATTCTCACCTGTCCTTAGCACTCCATTCTCATCAGAGTGCTTCAGAAAGGCAAAGGGGGCTGTGGCAACCATCCCCCAAAGTCCCACCTCTCTTCCAGGGCAGTAAATCCAGGTGATTGTCAAACTATCAGTGCCCACGGAACTCCACTGGAGGAGTGGAGTGAGTAAGCTCAGCTTAAGAGAGGAGGGGGAAAGGTTTTTTTTCCCTTGGACAGGGAATTTTTCTGGCTCTGGATAAGAGTTTCAATTTAGCGGGGCTTTTATTTGGATTTTAGTTAGGCTTGGGGTCAGCTTAGGGAAGAAAGCTTGTTTCAGTGAAGCAAATAAGCATCCTGTTGAGGGCCCTCACTCCTAACTTACACATGCAGGTTCTGTGAACAAGAGCTCTGTGTAGTAAAAGAGCAGCCTTGAAGCTGTTGAGGTAACCTGTTAAGAAAAAGGGGAATCACATCTCCTCTCAGGGTTTATTTACATTAACAGAGACTCAATTACAAAGTAGTTACTCTCACTGGGGAAGCTTGTAACCTATAGGGGTAAAGCTGACAAGCAGTTCACTTTATAATACTGAAACGTTACCACACAAGACCATACCATATTAAATACTTCAGTTTCTGTTAAATAACCTATGCTGTTCATCTACATTTGTGTCTTGTCTGTCCACTCAGATAACTATGAAGAAGCAATTTCTGCTTACCTCATAAATAATTAGTCTTGGTCTAGCAGGTTCCCAAATAAAATATTTTTAGGGATGTGTATCTTATATGCTACCAACCCTTTAATCCCCCTTTTTATCTGATTGTAGGCAGTTGGGGTTTAAAGAATCCATATGACAGAGGCCACAGTCGGGGATTGGACATTCTTCAGTCCAGAAGGTAACTCAGAATCTCCCCCCTGGCCCCACAGTGTCCATATTGTTGCTGTTCTTCTTCTTTTTTTAGTTTAACAATTAACATTTCCCCCCCATACTTGGGAAGGTTCTTACCTTGCCTGTATATGCCTTCTGATGGACATAACATCCAGTTGAATATTAGAATTAATTTCAGACACATTCACACCTAGATTTTTCCCAAGTTCTTCACATCTGTGGGCAACTGTTCCAAGATATGTAATTATTCTGTTTCTATTAACCTACTTACCATTTGGATATGTAAGTCTGTAGTTATAAAATGTTGTGCAGTTTCTAAGAAACTAAGTAATGGTTCGTTCCCATGCCTGTAACAGAAAGTATTATGCGCATGCATAAGTATGAGAAAACATTTTGATTAGATGCTAAATGTATGCCATCATGACTGACATGAAAAAGAAAAAATATATCCATAAATTACACTATAGGCCAGAATAAAGATGATACCAGAGACCTGTGACTAGATCTCAGGGCCCTCAAATTTTGTTTCGAGTGAGGGGAGGGGTAGAGAGAGATCAAACTTGTCTCATGTCCAATTTTCCTAATCCAGATCTATGCACTCTAAGTCATCCTAAGAAAAAAATAGAATAGCTGCATTGTGTCTTTATTTTTTCTCTCTCTTGAGGAACTTAAAGCAGCTTCAGGGAACAATTCAGATTCAATTCAACAATTCAGAGCAAAAGATTTAAATTCCCTTTCCTCAGTTCCACTGTCCAAATCAAAATCAAAGGTCCTGAAGCTGCCTTAAAGGGAAAACCTGGCAGATTTGATCACAGACTTCCTGTATCATACCTATTTTATCTCTAAGAAGAACAGATTAAAAAATCAATAATTGGGAAACATCCCTACATCTAATAACCAATATAGGGTGCAGCAAACCTACAGGAACCCCTACATTTCTAGAAATATAATTTTGAAATACATTCCTCCAAGTTAATAGTGTCATTTGCACAGACACCTCTCTCTCTCTCTCTCACACACACACACACACACACACACACACACACACACACACACACAAATGAAGCTCAGTCTGCATTTTGGGAGGCTGTAACAAACCAAAACAGTCTGTGAAAATATGGTGGCAGCTACCAGGAACAGGTGAGAAGGGGAAGCTGGAGCCAGTTCAAGTTTATCTCCTCCTAAGTGCTTCTCCACCTCCCCACCACTTGCCATTCCAGGCAGGCATACTGGGAATATAGAGCCAAAGCATGTGGGTGGAGGCAGGCCAGACCTGGCAAAGCAGTGGGGGGAGGGCAGGAGAGACAAAGCAGAGAGCGAAGGATTGCTCCACCCTGTGAGTCCTTGCAGGTCCCCCTCTTAGACTTCTTGTTTCTCTTAACTGGTAAAAATGACCACTGCTGTTTGAATTACTTATTTTTTCTATTGATAATCAATAGTAAAGTAAAACAGCTGCTAAAAAAGTGACATTTCCCCCCTGTTCATTAGGACTAAAAATGCAAATGAAGTTGCTTCAATGCTTCCCATACCTGTTACTTAAAACCAACCAATTTTCTGTTAAAAAATTCCATGCTATCCGGTAGCCAACTTCAGTTGCTGCCACAGAACCAATAACTTCTGATACCTGGTCTGGCGAAATTATTGAATCGTTGAGGGTATACTGCAAGAATCTGTAGAGAAGTGCATTTAATATATAAAACTCATAATACAAGAAAATAAAGTTTATAAAACACTACTGAGTTAAACAGGGCTTTAAAATAAAAGAGGTGCTGGAACTCTCCAGAGGGAAATGAAGTTTTCAGTCTGTATACTGAAAACTCATGAACTTTTAAACATTTAAAAAAACATTCCCCCCGGGGAAAAAAGCCCTGGAGTTAAATATCCTTTAATCTTGCTACATTTCACAATACATGGTAAAAATCTTCATGTATAGGAACATACTTTGCATGGCTGTGGCTTTGTCACATAATCAGCAAATCTGATTAATGAATTCTGATTTTGGTAGCTTCTGCTTCTGCTACCAAAAATCTCATATTTAATTTCTGACCCCCTCTAAATTTCTAATCCATATAGCCGCCATTGGGAATTGCAGTCACACAATAGCTGCAGCTTCCCTTTGGGAGCTCCATTCCAATGCACCAGAGGCCCTGATGTGGATTTTGACCACAGTGTGGGGGGAGGAGAAGCTTTAGTCTCATGCCATTTTCCAGAGCTGAAATGGCCTGGGAGGCATTATTGTTCCATTGGGGCACTGCACATGCCCTGAATCTTGAACATACAGTCCCCTCATGGGGCAAATAATGCCCTTCCAGGCCCAGTTTAAGTGGGGGGAAAGGCTCAGGGGGAAGGTAGAATCCCCTCCCTCCTTGCACCATGTTCCCAGTTCAAATCGGGCTTCTGTGGCATGTGAACTTGCAGCTGAAAGTCGCTGTGGTGGCTGAGTCCTCAAGAAACCAGGACTGTGCATGGGAAACTGCCAGTTATCAAAAGATGGCCTTATAAAACTCCACTCAGATCCTGTTAGGATCACCTTTAATTTCATTTTTTGTTCCAGTGGGACTGAGTTTTAGTCCAAGAATTCCAAGTGACAATCAGAATTATTAGTTAAGCGCCAATGACCAAATATTTATTTATGATTTAGAAAGAATCCATCTTGTGCTTTTATATTGTAGTTAACTGCAATTGGATCTTGGCAAAGAATAATTAGTGAGAAAATTCTAAATTAGTGTGGCAAAAGGAAGAATTCCCAATAACACGCAAACTGATGTTATCTGAAGAACCAGGTCTTAAAAAGCCATATTGATTTCTTAAAGGAATCTAGTCAACAGTAGAATCCACTAAAGGATGCCCTTTTCTTGTTTCACAAGCCACCCACAATGTGGATAGTGGAAAGTTCATGGATCAGTAGTTATTATTTTTCTTTTCCAGTTGTGCTACCCATTTCAGTCCACACTCCTCAATTCATTATTCAATCACTAAGAATAAACTTATTTTGACCAAAAAATCCAGATAAAATCTTCCTGTTTGTAAACAAGAGAGTAACAATAATTATTACAGGATCACAAAATGAAGTGTTTAGAAACTTCCTGACCAGACAAGAACTGGACATATACATTGATAAGTATACTTATTACCTGCTTTTCTCTTTAATTTGGCAAGTTCTAATATTTTAATGTACTGATAATAATGTTCACCTTTGAAGTAGCCATGGCTCACGGGTACATGCCAGGTCAGATAATATTGCCGATTTGTCATTTTTTTCAACATCATTACTACTGTACATTTTCCATGCGAAGTCCCATTCTTTGTCCCTACCCATTCGAATACCATAGCAACAAATGGTTCTGCTAATACAAAGAGGAACTCTGTAAAATAGAACATGATATCAAGGGTCAGAAAAATACAACACATTGTTTCAGAATTAAAGCAATTTACATAAAGAAATAAAATGTATCAGTTTTAAGGACCCTGATTTACATGTCTCATTGATGATGATGATGATGATGATGATGATGATGATGAAGAAGAAGAAGAAGAAGAAGAAGAAGAAGAAGAAGAAGAAGAAGAAGAAGAAGAAGAAGAAGAAGAAGAAGAAGAGATTGGATTTATACCCCGCCCTTCACTTGGAGTCTCAGAGCGGCTTACAAACTCCTCTCCCTTCCCCTCCCCACAACAGACACCCTGTTAGGTGGGTGGGGCTGAGAGAACTCTGACACAAACTGTTCTTTTTCAAGGACAGCTGTGCCAGAGCTTGTGACTGACCCAAGGTCACATCAGCAGGTGCAAGTGGAGGAGTGGGGAATCAAACCTGGTTCTCCCAGATTAGGGTCCGCACACTTAACCACTACACCAAACTGGGAAGAAAGTGATGTAAATATGGCAGCGTGGCAAAAATATCAAAATAGTAGATTAACGTTTCTATTAAATACACAGTAATGGCAGTATCAATATAGTCACCTCCAGGGGTCCACCATGGAACTTTCCATAGAGGGCCATATAAATGGGAATTCTATAATCTCACATAGCACAGACACAAGCAACTACAGAAGAAGAAGAGGAGATTGGATTTATACCCCACCCTTCACTCAGAGTCTCAGAGTGGCTTACAAACTCCTTTCCCTTCCCCTCCCCACAACAGACACCCTGTGAGGTAGGTGGGGCTGAGAGAACTGTTTCCAGAACTGTCCTTGACAGAACAGCTCTGACAAAACTATGGCGTGCCCAAGGTCATCCAGCAGCTGCAAATGGAGGAGTGGGGAATCAAACCAGGTTCTCCTAGATTAGAGTCTGTGCACTTAACCACTACAACAAACTGGCTCTATAGTAATCAAACCTCAAAGTGATATTCTATCATTCCCTAGGTAATATGAATAAATAGATTATCCTAGCCAGGTCTGTAAATCTATCTCAGCCGTAAAACAGAGCAACATTTTCCACCAATGATTCTTCCTTTCTTCTTCTTTTATGAAATTAATGTACCCAACCCAAGAGACAGAGAGCCTTACAAAAGGATTCTGTTACATAGTCTGTTGCATCACTTGAACACAATTCTGAACATCTAAAAACTTATCCCATCTTTCTGTGCTTTGAGTACTATCTTGTTCCCATTAATCATATTGTTTGTTCTGATAAATGTTGGCCCCGGTCACATGGGCCAGATAACGTGGGGGGGAGGCGTGGCTGTTCGCCCCGGAGCAAAATAAAGCGCGGTAGCCCGATCACATGGTTTCCCGAGTCTCCATGCTTCGGCTGTTAGCTGGTGATCACATGGCGATGCTGCAGCATGGCAAAGAAGCAGCGCAGCGTGATCACACAAGCGTTTCGCATTTGTGCGAATGCGCAGTTTCACGGAGCAGCACTACTTTCAGTTTTGTGCGCGTGCGCTTACGAAAAACATCCGGTTTGCGACGGGATGTGGACGGGTGCTGGATGCCATGGGATACTAGTGCTCCCGCGATCCGATGCCTGCCTGTGCTGCGCATTTTTCGGATACTAGTGCACTTTCCTTGGTACTTTTTAACTCCGCATCTTCGGTGGGATGCCACAGGTTGGCCACGGGTGCGCTACGCTTCCCAGATGTTCCAGTGTGATCGCGCCCCGAAAATCCGCCTGACATTCATGCCTTTCACGCGGCAAATTCTCCGTGTGACCGGGGCTGTTATTAGTTTTATGCCTCTGATAAGAAGCAGCCTCCTTTTGGATGGAAAGTGCTTTATACTGCCCCTCTGTGGAAAACAGAGACAGGGCTTTTTCACTAGGGGCCCCTTGCCCAGGGAAGGCCTTTCCCCATTAGCCTCACCTGAAACCTACACTGATCTCCTTGCAGCAATACTGCCCCTCTGTGGAAAACAGAGACAGAGCTTTTTCACTAGGGGCCCCTTGCCCAGGCCAAACACTTCTTTTACCCAGGCTTTTAATTAGGGAGGTTTCCATTTACAAACAGCTTGACAACTGTTCTATTTATTTTAAACTCCTGATTGATTTCTGTTTTTATGCTCTGGCTTAGTTTATAATGCTAGGTTTTAATTAACAACTTATAATGTATTATGTTTTTATTATGTTTTGTTTTGTAAGCCGCTTCAGGCAGGTTCCCTGGAGTGAGAGGAGGCATAAACATTTTCTAAATAATATAACAAATCATTAACTATAACTTTATATAAAAGTAGGTGTATAAATTGTATTTACTCGTTCTTGGGGCTGTCCATCCTCTTGGAGAAGATTTCAGTAGCTAGGTCTAAACAGTCGTGGAAACCAAGCAAACACGCTGTTCTAAAGAGGCTTTCGATAGCATCTCTTGGAACAAAACCCAAAATGAAAATAAATACAAGTTTACAAAAAGAAACACACGAACTATTTTGTATTTCAGCATTCAGTGCATACACACTGCTGGAATTCATCAAGAGGTTTCTGAGGCATAATTCACCTGTTCTAGTCTGGTTTTCATAATCTGTTTAAGAAATGAGACAGGACAGGTGGTGTATGGACCTGCTTTCAGCACATGGCTAGAGCAGATAACCTTTTGATTTCCAAAGCTATAATTCTGTGATTTTATAGGTTCCCAACCTATTGTCTGTGACTATATCTACCAGTGAAGATATAGTGTGCCAGCAAACAAGGACTGAGGGTGAGAGAGAAGGGTTCTACTGGAAGTGAGCAGAGTTCCCGAATGGGTGCCCAGCACCTATGGAGTTTGTCACAGTCCTTTGGGCAGGGGACTGGCCCTGAATACTGACTAGAATGGTCTGCTGTGCCACTGTTCAGCATGTGTACAACAAGTTCCCTGCCCCTAGTTTATAATTATGTGCCTTGATTAATAGGTTTCTCAAAGAATCATACACCTTAGTTCCCATGGGTGGTCCTACCATTTATCTTAAAATGTCATGCAATGGAAGCACCTGAGACTAAGCAACAGGTTTCTACAAACCTGCTGATGTTGTATACAAGTTTTCTTAATATGTGTATTTTCCTGGTTTTTAAGATACTTCTCTAGAGTTGCTACCTTTAATATAGGGACTAGCCCTTATTTCCTTGGACCATATCTCATATGGGACCTGTCCTTGATAGACTAAGCTTCGTAGCCAGAAGCTTTTCTGTCTGAAAGAGTAAATATAATCTGTCAGGGAACTGTTACTAAAAAGGTTCTGTCTGAAATGACAGACAGAAACCGTTACTGAACAGTTCCTGAAACGGAACATATCGGCTGTCTGAAATTCCCCTAGTATCAGTAGCTATTGCTGTCAAGTGGCAGCATATGAAAAAAGAATAGTTATGTACTTTTTAATGCTATTACAGTGTTCCCTCTCCACTTATACCTCAGGATTTTGAAAAGTCTTATATAAAATAATTTCATCCATAATGCTGGTTTCACAATTAACTACTTGCCTTATTTCTACTTTTTCATCTAAAATAAATAATTTTGGACTTAGAGGAGATGAGGATTCAAATCCTCATTCAAACATAAAGCTCACTGAGTAATTTTCAACTAATCACTTTGTCTCAGGCCAAAATAATTCAATTGGATCAGATGATAAAAGTAATAATATTCATATATACCATCCTGAACTCCTTACAATATAATCTATATATCTAATAGTGAACTGGCCCCCTCTGTGCGGATATCTAAATCCGCACTTCAGGGGCACTTGGGGGGCAGGGAGAGGTTTGTGCACACGGGGGAACAGTGAGGCCCGGGCAGCTGCAGACTCCCGGACCTCGCTTCGGAGCCGGGCGGGGGGGGGAACAGCCGCTCCGAGAGACGCCCCCGCCCCTTGCCCGTTTCCCGGCCCCATGGCACTCTCCCGCTCGCCCACCTTCACCTCCAGCAGCAGCAGCCAGAGCACAGGAGCTCCAAGGAGCAGTGGTGACGCGTCCCTCCCATCTCGCCGGCCGGGCGCAGAAAGCGAAAGCGGCCGCTCTCCTGCTGCTCAAGTCGAGACTGAAGGGGCGGGCTCGGGGAGGGGCAAGGGACTTGGCGCCTCGGTCCCGGAACCGCCCGGGGACGCCGAACGTGACTCTGAGCATGGGCAGACAGGGCGGTGGCCCCAGCTTGCTGCTGCTGCTGGGAAGGTTGCGGTATGGGTTCCCTGTCGTCACGGGACCGGCCCGTACTGCGTCACACACTTTCTTGCTCAACCCGGCCTACCTCTTGGGGTTGTTGTGAGGGAAGAACGGAGGAGCAGAGATGGATGCCTCCCGGACCTCGCTTCCGAGCCGGGGGGGGAAGAGAGCCGAGGGGGGTGGATGGGAGGTGGAGGAGCTTCCTCCCCCCCGTATTGCGGGTCCGCCCCTTGTAAATACATAATTTTCATACCAATATTCAACTTAAAATGTGTGCTTATTTATATTTTTTCATATAAAATATCCCTCAAACATGCACTTCAGTACTAAACATATTGCTTGGAAGTGAGTCTCACATTAGTGAGACTTATTTAGTTCTATTCTGTATTTTTAAGGATTGGCATGCTGGTCCACTTTTAAAATCTATAAGCACTTACTTGGTATAATGGTCAACTGCCAACACTTCAAAACCCTGTCGAAGAAGATTTGCGTAACGATGATATATTGGGAAAATTCGCGTTAAGAAGAATTTCTTTGGAGGGAAAAAAGAGAAATGGCTTTTTGAGATTAATTATTTAAATGTATTCTGCTCCCCTAGTACACAAAATTTTTAAATTAACCAGAAAAAGAAAAAGGAAGTCTCTCAACAAATGACCTGGTGAGAACTGAAAATGTTCCAGAGGAGACTGGCGGCACAGTCCTAAATAGATCTACCCTATCCTTCCAAGTCCAGTAAATTCAATGGGTTTAGAAAACTGAAACTCTGCTCAGAATGGCACAGTGAATGCTGAGAGTGAGTTAAACGGGGAGAAAAGGAAGGAGGCGGAGAAGTCAGCATGCTCAAGCCACCAAAGCTGAGAGAATTTTGGAGGGTTGTCCCCTTCCCCTTGATTCCTCTGCAATCCCTCAGCTTGTTCTCCCTAGTTATGTTCTGAAAATGTGAATACGGATATTGCTGGAAAACTGCCATTCAGCTATTATGATGACCCAAATAATTACAATTGAGCACGAAAATCCTGGAATCAGTTCCCTGGGAGCTTTGCAAAACTTATTCACATCTGACTTTTTCAAAGGACAACACACTTTTAGCCACTTCTCTACACACGTTTTTGAAACTTGAATAAGGCAATGTAACACTGGAAGCTGCTCATATCATTGCCACTCATATAACTGGTATAAGTTTTATTAACTAAAAGAATATATGTACCTTTAAAACTGGATATAGTTCATAATCACTCAGAATATTCATTGCATTGGTAAATTCTAGCTTTCCCAATACCACATTCCAAATTAAGATTTCATCTTCTTTTTCAAGGTATTTAGTTAAATATAGCGGAGTATCATTTTCAGTGTGACCAGACCTATTTAAAAGAAATCAAGCTTTATGTAAATAGAGAATGGTAAAAGAAAAGACAGTAATAAATGAAAATAACTATAAACCACTAAATAGTCTGCTCCTGAACTCCATTTCAACAAAGCTAAAAAATATCCACTAAATGAATTGCAGGTTTTTCCTTCACTTTTACAAGCCTAGAGGTTTCCATTTACAAATGAGAAGTAATGCATACAAGGCTATGCACAGGAGTTTGCTAGCCTGGCAAGAAGATCCATTTAGAAACAGGAGGACACATTAAAAACTATGCATAAAATTAAGAATAGCTGTTAAGGATGAGGAGACACTGTTACTTGCTATTTTGATTTGGAAGAATGCAACATTTTTTACAATCTTGCATTTCTTTTCTAAACTTTTACCTATTTATTTTCATTCCAGTTCTTGTCAGAAGGACCCTAACAGAGTTACTGCAGAGTTACTTTTAGATCCTCAAAAGGAGAAAAATGAAAGATTTTAGAGTCAGAGGCCCTCACTGTGGTGACATAGTCTAGAGCTCAGGCTTTTATAAAAATCACATCTACCTACCCTCACTGACCTGCCCAAAATAAGTCAAAATGAAAACCTTTCAATTCCCACCAGCCAGTCTGTTGCAGCTGAAAAGAGCTTTACAATATATTGCCACAGTCAGTCTTGCTCAAAGAACTGAAAATGAGGGGGGAGAGATGCTCAGAAATCAGACAGGTCCACTGGGTTCCTATTCTTTGTTTCAGAACATTCATCTATTGTTTTAAAGTTTTCAGAATGAGCATAAAATAAATGGAACCCTAAATGTGCCTTTGTATCTGAAGAAGTGAGCAGTGACTCACAAAAGTTCATACTCTGCCACGAATTTTGTTAGTCTTTAAGGTCCTGCTGGACTCTTGCTCCTGCCTACTGCTACGGCAGACTAACATGGCTACCACATTGATCTGTGCCTTTGCAATAGTTCCAATATTTGCAAATTTTGATAGGGAAAAGAAAGAAAATAAGAGCCTCAAAAATTCAAACATTCCAGAATTAAGTGAACACCTACATTTCAAATTAAACAAATAAGGGATTAATTTGAAAATAAAACTCCATTAAAGCAATACAACACAGGAAACTGCATGAAGCAGCTTTCCACCTGAAGAGTTTGCCGTGGAAAATCTTAATGGAAAATTACCTTATTATCTTTCCGTATGATTGTGCACTGGCACGGCATAACTTTAAAATAACAACCTGCAACCAGGGAAAACATGACTCTACCTTTAATTTGCTTGTGGGTCACCAGCCAGATGGAGGAAAGATTCAGCATGATCAGTCCAACAGACAGAAAGATGTGCTTACAATGCAAAGTCAGAATTGTGACATTCCAGACAGGCAGTTTACAGGAAGCTGAGCTGGAAACAGGGTCAGGAAGCAGACTGAGGCTGGAAAAGGCAGGACAGGTAGGCTGGGCTCAGAACTGGAGCAGAAAGAGGACAGGAGCAAAAAACCAGCTAAAGATAGGATAGGAAGCAACTGTTTGGTGTGCAGAATCAAAGGAGTATAAAGAACAACTCGCACCATGGGCTTTCATGAATGACAATGTAATCCTCTGGAAAGTTACTCCAGTCTATGCCCCACGGGTTTAGTCTGAAGTAAGTCTGTATATGATTGCACTGTAAGTTGTGATGTGTAATATGGGATGACTGCACTGGTGGAGCTCCCTAAGTTGGAGAAAAACTAAACTAGCTAATAAAGGCAATTTTTTGCTGTTACTCCAAATGTTCCATATCTATAACTTCAGATACTGGGTCAATTCACTAGTAATGCAAAATCAACGTCTGGCATTATATGACATGTGTCTCTGAACTAGTAAACTACGGTTGGTACTTGACCTCAAAACCAGAATTTCTTTTTTGTCTTTTCTGTAAAGATATTACACTACTAATATTACATAAAATGGATGCATAAAAATCTAACTAGGGCCCCAGTCACACGGCGAATTTGCCACGGGAGAGCCATGATGGAATGGCAGATTTTCCGGGCACGATTGCACCACAACATCTGGCAAGCAGAGCGAACCCGTGGCCAACCCGTGGCATGGCGCCAAAAATGCATGATTAAAAAATACCTCCTCGAAGGTACTAGTAAACGGTTTGCCACGGGCTGCCTCCGGAATCCCTCGGTGTGATCGTGCCGGCGCGGCTTTTCCCTCTGCCCGTCTTTGTTGCAGCGCACATGCCAAGGGCCGGAACCGTGGGTTGCTGCCGATGCATCTAATCGCATTGTCGTGCGTCTAATTGCGGTGCCGCAAATAGCCACGCCTACCCCCGCGTTTTCCGGCCCGTGTGACCGGGGCCAAGGCTCATTTAAAGCAAGTGAGATGCATGAAAATGTTCTAGATCGTTTACTGAACACATTTTTTGATGCCTGACTGATTTTTTATTCCAGTAGTCTATTATTACAGACCGAATATTTAAGTATTCCTTCTGTTCTCACACTATCCTAGATCTCTACTGCCACACATATGTAATCTTCACTACAGTGAATACATACATTATACATGACCTTTATGACCATATCCCAGAAGTTTGAACCTTTCAAGTAAAGCTAACACATGTATTAAAAATCTGTGCTACTGAGATCACTCTCAAGCCTTGCTTTCATTTCACCTTGTTCTACTTCACTGCTTGCCATAACTAAGGGGGGAAGGGAATTCCTGAGGGGAGTGCATGGGTATTTTGAGTGGATGCTTGTAGAAGCCATAACTTTCCTTAAGATTGTGCCCCACTGCCAGTTCCCAAGGGAGCTGGCCTTGGAGACTCTTTTGCCAAGCCTGGACATAGATAAGGCACCGTATATCTGTCAGGGTTGCCATAGTAACAGTAGGGGCTGAATGGTGACATATGTGAGAGGTGTGGGGTGTATTTTGTATTATCTATAATAGGGGATTTTGCACACCTTTTCCTCAGTTCTGACATGGAGCCTGTTTTCTAAAGTAAGCATATCTCAATAAGCTACCACTGCTTAAGTGTGTTGTCGGAGAGTGTCTTAACTGGGAGACCTGAAACTCAAATATTATATTATATACTGATAGAAAAAGTGTAAAGTCCAATGGCACCTTTGAGACCAACAAAGGTTTATTCAAGGTATGAGCTTTTGTGTGCACGTGGTATTCAGAGACTGAGAAAAATTCATAACGAATATTTTGCCATTGGACTCTAAATATTTTGCTAGCCCCATCTTGTCAGATCTCAGAAATTTTAAGATTACTTTTTCTTTTTTAGAATATGCCAGTTTTTTTACTGATCAATGCAGAGGCATTTGAGAAACCACACAAGCAACCTGCTTCCAGCCTTAAAAGCAATTGATTTATACACACATTACAGTATTCTTTAAATAGTTGTGAGGTTTATATGTTCGTTTTGGTACTGACTTGTTGTTCATTATTTGTCAGCTTGTACCTCACCTGAAGGGGTAACTGCTTTTCAGTGTTTCTTTACCAAAACAAACACCAACAATTACCTGGTTTGTCTCTCTTCTCTAGTTCAGCTCTTGAAGTTGTGAATCATAAGACTGACGTGCAGGTTCAAGTGCCATTAGCATGATGCTCAGAGACAACAAAGAAGCAATCCTGCTTTGGAGGGCAAGCACAAACTGTAGTTTGTTGAACTGGATATAATAAAAAAGCCATGGTTTGTCCTGAACAGCAGCTAACGGAATTGGGGTGCAGAAGAGGAGGTAGTAAGCCCAAGGCTCAGTCACGCAATGTTATTGGTGAATCAAATCACCTGTCTGCATTCTTTTATTTTCAACAAAACCAGTAGAAAAAAAATGTTTCAGTCAAATATTTCAACCACAGCAGGCTGCTCCAACATTATCAGTGTCTGCACGTGTATGCTTGTGCATTATATTACCACTCCATCTATTCAAGAGTTCATACCAGCATAGAGAGCAAGGCACAGAGCAGACTCCAGGGGTCCCCTAGTCACTCTGGCTGCTGAAGGTATTCCAAAGCGCTCAGGATGCTGACTGGAGTTATCACAGGTCTGCACTGTTGGTAAATCCACATATACTTTTCCCTGAAAGCCCTTTTGTTAATTTAACTGGTCAAAGGTTAATCTGATACAGTATGTCACAAGCACTCCCCAAACAAGGTTTGTCCAAGGTGAAGGCACGGTGGAAAAACTATCATTTTTAAAATGTGGAAACAGGCATGAAAATAATGTTGTTGACACTTTTAAATACAGTAAAAACTGTCTGAAACATTCATGCTCACCGTTTCAGTACAAAGGCATCATCCAGCAACTGTAACCTGTTGACCACCGGAACTGCCTGCAAAGAATATCCATGTACTTTTAGCAGATCTAAACAACTCTGTATGAATTAAAATGCCTACTTCATTTCAAGGTATTATTTATCAACAGTTTGTTAAGCACCTCATTCATACTTCAACTGAAATTATGCTTAAATCTGACATTTTAATTGCTTTTTTTAAATGGCTTGCGTTTCATACGGTGGTTTTTATTTATCAATTGCCTCAAGCAGGATTCTGAAGAGGAAGATTAGAAAATTCTAAATAAATAAATAATTTAGGATGGACGGATTACTCATTTGGAATTGGGATGCTGTCAAACTCACAAACACATCCTCAAATACATATATGCTTATGTACTGTTAGATCAACACACACCTTCCCCTGAAATTCCTTCTGTTATCTAACTGGTCAAAGGAGTCCAATAACTTGATGCAGTATGTCACTACACTCCCCGAACAGACTTGAACAGTATTCAGAATGTACACTCTGTGTGAGACAAGTTATGCATTGGTCCATATTTCTTCACATTTTATACAAGACATTTCCTTCATCAGAAAAAAGTACATTATAGTCTACAGTATTTGAGCTTGCTTACAAAAAATGGAACCGCAAACAGATCAAAAGTATCAAATTTAGTTTAAAAGCAACAATTATTTCATTTGCTCATTAATTTAGGTAAGACTGAAGATGATGAGAACTGAAAGAGGGGGCACGGCTCAGTGGTAGAGCATCTGCTTGGCACGCAGAAGTCCCCATGTTGAATCTTCAGCATCTCCAGCTTAAAGGACCAGGTTGCAGGTGATGTGAAAGACTCCTACCTGAGACCACAGAGAGTGACTACTGGTCTGAATAGACAATACTCACCTTGATAGACCAAGTATAAGGCAGCTTCATGTGTATAAGGATTCAGTATAAGGCAGTTTCATGTGTTCTACTGAGGATGGCATTCTTTATATTTAAAGGATTATTTAGTTAACAACACAGTTAGGGAACAAGCCTAAACAGGTCTTCTCAGAAATAAGTCACATTTTATTCAATAAGGCTTGCTCCCAGGAAAGTGTTCTCATGACTGCAGATTTAGTGTAAGGTCTGATCAGTCTAAGATTTAGTATTGCAAGTAACATTGGAGTGGGATTGGATTTTATTGGCTCTCAAGCCCAGACACAATGTGTGGACACCTACCTAAGGTTTCAGATACAATCTTACCTTTGGGTCACTTTCAAGAATTTTGGCCAATGTTCGCCAGTTGGATTGGTCATAGTTAACTCTATAGTAACCAGTCATATTCACGTTTAAAATAATCCAGTCATGTTCTGAATCTGATATTTTCATTTCTGGAAATACTTCTGTAGGCAGCATGGAAAAACAGCATGAATTCAGTGGTTTACTTCTACAAAAGTGTACATACCCATGTAAGATTAAATGTAAAAGTACTAAAATCTGATTGTTGTAATGTATGAATCAAATAAATCCAAAAGCCCAGCCCTGAATAATTTTCCCATCCCAATGCACCAAACCAGACAACACTACAGATGGACCACAAGTTGGAACATAAGACAGAAAGGCACACTTGTAGCTTAATAGCAGAATTTTGTAACACCTTAAAAACTAACAGTTTTCTGTCCTGACCTGGATAGCCTAGGCAAGCCCGATCTCATCAGATCTTAGAAGCTAAGCAGGGTCGATCCTGGCAATTACTGGGAAGGACAACCTCTAAGGAATACCAGGCCCAGAATGCAGAGGCAGGTAATATAAGCCACCTCTCTGAAACATCTTAACCCCACGAGGGGTCGCCAGAAGTCACCATAACTTCCAGGCTCACAAGCACGTGCGCACACACACACACACACACACACACACTACTCACCCCCCCTCCAAACCAACACTTTTATTGTGGTATGAACCAGAGCCCATCAGATGCAGCTGACAAAGGCTGTTTTGGTTTAAATTAAGATTATGCCATTATAAATGCTTTAGTTTTTAAGGTGCTACAAAAGTCTTATTCAAAATAAAAGACTTCTAAGGTCTAGCCATAGTCTGGTTTGGTGTGCAGCATTTCATACCACATCAGGAGGATCATTTAGAATTTGTAATAGGCTATTTGTGGTCTTACTTGAAACAGGTTAACATGGGTAATATTCTGGAATTATAACTTCCTGTTCCTTAAATACTGCTGGTGGATGCTAAATAAGGGGGGGGGGTCAGTTCTTGCTTTTTACCTCCACAGTGGCCAGCGCCCGCTGAGGAGAACTATATGATTAGCTGAGTGCTGAGGGCATGGTCTTTTGGGGAGTCTTTCAGCCAGTTGATCTCGGAAGTCAGACAGTCAGTCAGCTTCTAACAGAGTCAGTTGGAGTCAGTGAGCCTGACAGAGGCCCTGTTCATACAAGCCCATTTGGGCCGGGAGCGGGACGGAACTGGGGCGGAGCAAACAGGCGGGCGCGTCCTTGCGCCGCCGCATCCCGGCCCCCAGCCGTACTGCGCATGCCCGAGCATGCGCAGTTCGGCAGCCTCCCCCCTCCCCTCGGACTTTTCCTCCCCGGCATCTGATCGTGCCGGGGAGTGATGCGCCGCGGCTAGGGGATCCGTGGGATCCCGCCGCGGCGTCTCAAGTTTGGAGCGGCTCTGAGTAGCCGCGTTTCAGCCGTCCCGTGTGCCAGGGGCCTATGTCAGTCAGACAGGTTCGCCGTTGGAGGGAAGGGAAACAACTCTTTGCCTCAACTGTTTTCTATCAATTCCGAGGAAGAATTCAGTATCAAAACTGAACGTCTAAGAGTCAGCCTAAACTGAAGTCCGTTTTACACAGACACCAGAACTGGGATTGAGATTTTGGCGAGGGCGATTGGGTAGTATGCTGAAACTCCCATTCAGGCCAAAAGAAAAGGGTTATATCTTCTGAGGAGGAGGAGGAGAATTCCTGCCCAGTTACACAGGGGGTTTTGCTCTGAGGAGACCCCTGGTCTGTTGTGAAGGGAATCAGATTTAGACACCTTGGGATATTGAAATAAACCGTGGTTTCCAAAAGGGGGAGAGTTTAGGTACACAAATAGAGATAATCTCCGGGAAACCTGAAGAGTCATAGGAAACTATATGAAGAAACACTGTAACTGTAATTAAAATGCACTGTAATTAAAATACGACTCTCACTGTTAAGAGCCAAGAATATATGAAAATAGTTTCAATAACAGTGTTTTGATTGTTAAAAGAAGTATAATCTGTATTAACAACAATTTTTACCTCAGCATTTCCAACCCGACTACACCTATTCAATCCCTGCCTGTTAAAGAAAGTAGTTATTTCTGTTTGAATGTTACATTGTCTCAAGTGCTACTTGAAAGGGAAAAACAGGGCTCTTGCTTATCCCATCAAGTTCCTAGACTGGGCTAAAAGACCAATTAGATCTTCGTGACAGGGTGGGACAGACAGACTTTTAAAACAATAACTAAATCCATGCTACTTGGGACTGCTCAGTCACAGCTGGGAATACATTTTTGATGGGAAAACCTGCCTGATAGTGGGGAAGTGCCCGGGGTCCATCATATTTAGATAGCAAAATTGTTAGGGTATCTCCAGACTACACAGAAAAATAGCATTTTTGCAAGGTATGTTGGTTATTAGCAGGTTTGGAAATGGGTCATTTTTACATCTTCCATCAGCTTACATTATCTTATAATAGCAGCCAGCACACCATCACAGAGCAACAATGGTATCAGGGAGAAACTTTCCAGTTCTTTAGTTTTCTGTAGAAAATGTTCCATTTCTAAAGAATAATTCTGTCATGAAATAATACACAAATACCATTTTCAAGATGAGTAGCAACTGCTGCTGGGAAAAAGGAAGACAGGGAAATATGCACTCAGCCAACTCCCTCTGCAAGGTTTTCCATATAATCCAATCTTGGTAATATAGTGTTTCATTCAATCTCATGAAAATCAATCAGTTTTGATAAATGCATACAATATTTCTGCATTATCATAGAGGCAGTGGATTTCATAACTGTCTAATACAAACATGACTGGCTATTAAGCTCAACCAAAATCTGTGGACCTTTGATATAGTTTAACATAATACATGCCTGAAATATATGAACTGAGGATATTTGTTACCATGAACTGAAGGGTGACTGTTTATGATTCTGATCCATGCCAATAAAGGTTTTGAATTGAATTGATATTTGTTACATCCATTCTAGATTCTGTGCTGCAAACAGTAGAGGCTTTCTTGAATTTAATAAAAATACTTACTGCTTTTCTTATCAAGCCATACTAAAGGCTGTACAGTTCCATTTCTTATCCAAGAAATCGGTATAATCCAGGTGTTACTTAATTAAAAACAAAAGTGGATAATGAAGGTTAAGAAATATGTAAATAAACTGTTCAAACACTAACTTTTTTCATTCTCTTTTTCATTTCTTCTTTGGTGTTTGTCATACATTACAGACCATGCAAATATGAAGTAAGGCTTCCTTGCTATAGGCTATGGCAGAGTTCTCATAATCTCTGAACTCTTTCTGCTTTGTTTTGCAGGAATCCCCACATCACAAGAATTACGTTTTGGCAAATAAGCACAGCATGCAGAAAGGTATTAACACTGGCATTGCATAGAGGAATCTAGATAATGACAAACTTATAAAAATGCATATTATTTTAGCTTAAGTGCTGTACCACTGCTCTCATTCTCACTCTTTGGCCTGACCATTCTAGCTGCCCTGTCATTGACCTGAAGAACAGAAACTGAGCTGCTCCTTATTCTAGTCTCTGAAAATGAAGGTCCTAGGTGGTATTTCCCTTCTAGCAGCAGCGGATTCCTCCCAGATTCCCAAGCCCTCCCCATCCCTGGCTGATTCTGCATTGGCTTTTCCCTCCATTGTTTTACAAAAAACAAGTTGGAACAGAAATTCCCCTCTGCATTGCATGCTACTTTCACTTCCTTTGATCATCAGATTTTATAGTACCTTCCAGACTGCATGCCATTTTGACTTTCTTTAATTGTCGGGTTTTATGGTACCTTCTGCATAGATTTATAGCTGTTCAGGAGTGACTTTGCATTCAGTATGGCATTGCCCCGAGGTATTTGAAGCCAAATCTGCATTTGCATTTTAAAATCATTTTCATGCTGCTGTGATGCCATCTTTCTCTATGCTTGTTTGAATGCTGTTTGGAGAAGATTCTTTTAAAGCAGTGCAGAGGTGCAATGACAGTGGACCTGCCCCAAAGGATGATAAACATATGTGGACGTGCAAAAGTATGCTAGCACTCTTGAGGTGTGAAAACGACACCAAATGTAGACAGCTTTTTTGAAGACGGAGTCAAAAGGCTGGGACACTGGTGGGAAAGACAAATGCAGATTCCACCTTTATGTATTTTTGAGCTGCAGTTGAGAAAATATGGAGCGAATGCCAGATGCAGAATCACCCATTCTCACAAACTGTCACCCTGTTTTGCTATTTAGAAATGGCCTGGATCCAATTAGCTTTTCCACTGGTGATAAAAGGAGGAGTGAGTCACCACTGACCATCAAAACAGCTATGCTGGGGATAATGGGACCTGCATGAACAAAAGCCCTGTGTGACAGGTGCTATATTAAGAAGGGGAACTAGGAAAGCATGAACAAAAATTGGAACCAACCCAGAAGTAGCCTTTCAGTTTCATATGACAGGAAACAAGTAAAACAGCTAATACATTTCTGAAACACAAGATGCATCTCAGTGCTTCCCCCCCCCAAAAAAAAAATAAGCTAAACTGTGCATACTTGGAAGTACTGGTATCATTCTTGTCTTTTTCATCATGAAACTGCTCCTGGCTGATATTCCCAGTGGACAGATTTACAGTTAGGAATGGAAAGCCAGGCTGGCATGTCCAAGAGTCCATTATAACTTTTATTGGTGCTGGCAATTGGAGGTTAGTCTGTTCATCTACTATCTAGGAGAAATGTTTTGGGTTAGAAATAATTTTGTTCATTTTAAAAATATTTTATATTTATTCCCGTATCAGAGATTTCAGATCCTAAGTACCAGATGACATTTCATTCTTTGCAAAGAAAACAGGTTTGCACTTACCTGTAACTGTTGTTCATCGTGTATTTTCTGTGCAGGCACACATGGAGACTGTGCATGAGCAGGCCTGCCCACAGAGAGGTTTTATAGCTAAAAGCCTCCAGGTGGCACTGTATGCCGGAGCCAGAAGCTCTTTTTCCCACCCAGGGATCACGTGCTCTGGAGTTGCAGTGCCCCCACCCTCAGTTCCTCTTTTGCCGCTGAAGCAAGAAAGCATACAACAGGGCGGGCGGGAGGGAGGGAGGGTATGTGTGCCTGCACAGAAGATACTCAATGAACAACAGTTATAGGTAAGTGCAATCCTGTTTTCATTATCGATCTTCTTGCAGTCCCACATGGGAATTCTAACAAGCTATTCACCAGGTGGTGGGAAATGCTCTCTTCACTTGAACAGAGAATGAAGAACTGGTTTGCCCACTCGTGCTTCTTGTCTCGCCAGCAGGTCCAAGGCATAGTGGCACATGAAGGTGTCCACTAAAGACCACGTGACGGCCTGACAGATTTCGGTGAACAGCACTCCATCGAAGAACGCTGCAGAGGAAGCCATTGCCCTGGTCGAATGGGCATGTATGTTTAAGGGACAAGGCAATTTAGCTTGGGCACAGTATTCTCTGATGGCAGAAACAATCCAATGGGACAGGGTCTGGGGTGAAGCACTTTTACCCGTATTAGGGCCAGCAAAACACACAAAAAGTGCTTTGTCTCTATGAAACTCCAATGTCCTTTTTAAAGTACAATAATAAAGGCCTTCTAATATCTAATGAATGCAACACTTTCTCATTTTCAGAACTTGGCAAAGGGAAGAACACAGGTAGAATCATTTCTTGGGATAAGTGAAATCTAGAGACAGCCTTCAGGAGAAAATGAAGGCTGGGTCTGAGAACTACCATCTCAGGGCAAACTTTTAAAAACAGGGGGGGGTGTCCACCCTTAAGGCCGCTAGTTCACTAACTCTCCTAAACAAAGTAATGGCCACCAAGAAACAGACTTTCATGGAAAGTTCTGCCAATGAACACACAGCCAAGGGCCAAATGGTTTCAACATTAGGTGGCCCAAAACTACCAAAAGAGACCACTGTGAAACCAGTGGGTCCTGGGAAGAGAAAAGGTTGAATAAGCCTTTGAGAAACCTTTTATATAAATGGTGAGAAAAAACTGATTCCTCTTCAGTTCCAAAGAAGTAACAGAAGATGGCTGCAAGGTGCACTTTAAGAGACAAAAAGGTCAAACCTTTTGTTCTCAAACCTAGTAGGTAATCTAATATAGCTTGTAAGGGGAAAATTACTCCAAAGGGGAAAATGATCCATTTGTACATATAAGACCTCCTAGTAGCAGGTTTGCGTGAGTGCAGGAGAACCTCACTAACCTCTTGTGGGAAGGTTAGATCCCTATCTGGAGACTCCATGCCATCAAATTGAGGCAACCTACATCATGATGTAGAACCTGGCTGTTTAGGAAGAGGGACATGCCGACCCTGGGGCACGTTTATTAGGGGAGGAAACCAAATCTGGTGGGGCCAAAAAGTAGCTATAAGAATCATATCCCTCCCTTCCCTCCTGACCCTCTCTATGACTCTGATGAGCAGCAGAAAAGGGGTAAATGCATAAAAAAGGGCCCCTTTCCAAGAAATCTGAAAGGCATCCCTGAGAGAAGCTGGGCCTATCCCAGCCCAGGAACAAAACCTGGCAGCCTTTGTGCTCTTCTCTGTGACAAACAAGTCCACATCCAGGAGCCCAGATAGGGCAAAAACTGGATCTAGGTAAGTGTCCTTGATGGACCACTCATGAGAGTGTGTCCTGGTCTTGCTTTGTCTGCTTACTTCTTTATAATCCCCAAAATATGGATAACATGAAGGGAAATATGGATAACATGAAGGGAAGTGCTGAGCTTCAGTGCCATGGACCACACCATTGCGGCCACCTAACATTCTGGAACCCATTCCCCCTTGCTTGTTCAAGTAGAACATCGTAACCATATTGTCTGTCTGGATTAAGATGGAGCAGTTCCAAAGGATATCTGCAAAACAGCTAAGGGCATGGCAAACGGCCTGTAACGCTAAAAGATTAATATGTAGCTGTTTTTCCTGATGAGACCATGTCACTTGGGCAGAAAGTGCTTCACAATGAGCACCCCAACCAATAAGTGAAGCATCTGTAGTCAGAGTGACTACATACTCAAGAATACCAATATGTTGATGACACCCATCTATTTCTGTTGATAGGCGGCCAGCCAACTGTCATTCCCAGGAACTTAGCTGAGAGTTTGGATGCTGTGGTGAGATGGTTAAAACAAAGTCAGCTGAAACTGAATCCAGGTAAGATGAAGGTCCTGTTGGCTGGGTGGAGGAGCGCCTCGGTTGGGTTGTCAACGCCCAACTCTTGAGGGTGTGCCTCTATCACTGGCACAGACCATCAAGAGCCTGGGCATGACTTTGGGCTCCTTCTTGTCTATGGCGACCCAGGGTGCAAAAGTTGCCAGGCTGGCATTTCTCCAACTGTACCAGGTTAGGCAACTGGCTACCTACCTGTCTCGCCCCGACCTAGCCACAGTGATACATGCAATTGTCTTTGTTGTTTTTTTTGGGGGGGGCAGAGGGGCAGTTATTACATTTTTTTAATAAACTACAAACAGAGGGGCATTTATTGCATTTTTTAATAAACTAAAAATTACAATGAAAAAATAGGAAGGGGGAACTACATCTAGGGAGAAAGGAAAGAAAACCACTAATAACTAAAACCTCAAGAATAGGAGATCATAACAACAGCTTATTTAGGTATTAATCTTAAATTGCTAGTATTACTTTGAACATAGTCGGTTATGCTAAATTATTTATCTTTTTATCCATAAATATAACTGCTCAAAGAGAAACCCAAGAGCATCATCCATAATAAAAACAGAATTTTAAGGCACAATTCAGAGTCCTTCAGCCTTCACTTTGTTTTATCTTTTCTAATCCTCAATTGATATGCACGTTTGGGTGCACCCGCTCCCTTATTGGAAACAGTCCTCATCGGAAGACCCCAAGTCCAATTCGCCACTGAATTTGCTGTCATCTTCTTCCTTGCCGTCCTCGGCTTTCTCTCCCAGCTGCACTCTCAGGAACTCACGTGCTTTAAAGACAGAGTCAATCTTTTCATTTTTATTGTGTATTTTAAAACTGACGTCTTCTGGAATTTGCCATCTGTAGGCAATGCTATTTGTTTGTAGAAAAAGGATTAAGTCTTTGTATTTCTTCCTCTTTTGCCTTATTTCAAATGGGATGTCTTTTAAAATCCTGATAATGTTGTCCCCGATTTTCAAGGGTGTTCCTGTAGTTGCTTTCAGGATTAAATCCCTCACGTGCCTCTTCGAGAATTTGACCACTATCTCCCCAGGCAGATTATTCTTCTTGATGTACACGGAATAGGCTCTGTAGACCACATCCATTTTGTTTACAAGATATTCCGCTTTCAAATCCGTAACTGGGGCTAATGCTTCACTCAAGAGTTGCTTTAGATTCTCGTCTTTTAATTCTGGGACCCCTTGAAACCATAGGACGAAATTTGCTTTCTCCATTTGCAGCTGTAAAAGTTGTGATTCTTCAGAGACTTGTTTCTTTTCCAGCTTTTGCACCTTTTTCTTAACTTTTTTGGCATTGGCGTCCATTTCCTTCACCTTCTCAGCCATTTGCTCCGTTATTTTTAAAGTCTCAGTCAGTTGGAGCTGCTGAGTTGCTAGATTCTGGTTTAGATTTGTCAGCTGTTGTTCAATGTTAGTCATCTGATCCAGCAGAGGGCGCAAGGGCTCTGCCAACATTTTGGAAAGCTCGGTGGTCTCTTCCGGTCGAGGGCTCAAGCTGGCTGGTTTCACTTTTACTGGTTTGTCTTTCTCTGCCCTCTTCCCCGCCATCTTTATGGATTGTTTACTTTTATGAAAACTTGCTAAAGTCTCTGAAATACGCCCATACGCTTATCCGCACTCTGGTAAGTCTCTCAAAACAGATTTCAACGCTTTTTCTTCCACTCCCCTCTAAGTATTCAGTTGTTTAGTTCATGTGTATGGGAGGGGCCCCTCCCCCGCTCGCTTCTCTCGTCGTTCCTGGGGGGAGCTTTCTTTATATATTCCCGTCTTCGCTTTAACCCGACTCACTGTTCATTGTTGGTCATACGACCTCACTCAGAACATGTTTAAAATGCTCGATCTCCGACGCTTGTCCCGGTCAGCGGCTCTAGATCCATACAGACACTCAGCGGCAGGACCGTCGGGGCAGAGGAGCACCTCAATTCCCCAGCATCATGCTGGTGAAGAGGTTGCCCCTCAAAGGCCCCATGGCTAGGAGCCTTTTGCCAAGGCTCCAGGGTGGTGGTGACCCGTCACACCCCCTCCTATCCGCTGGTGCGCAGATCACATCCCCAGGAGGTCCGGGAGATGCATCCGCCAGCGTGTCGTCGTAAACCGGAAGCTCCGTGATACATGCAATGGTCAGCTCCACCTGTAGGTAAGGACAGCCTAGCAAATCTAATGTAATAAATAAATAAATAAAATAAGCAACCACAAGAGCTAGGCACTTCATAAATACCCTTGATGCAGTGGCTAAACCAACGGGTGAAACAGTATACTGAAACACCTGTTTCCCACATGAAAAATGAAGGAATTTACTATGTTGAGCACAAATACAGATGTGAAAGTAGGCATCTTTCAAGTCAATAACAATAAACCAGAAGTTAGACTTTAATAATTGTAAAACTGAAGGAAAGGATAATATGCGAAACTTTTAAACAGACATAAAGACATTCAGATTCCTGAGATATAAAATTGGTCTGACCACACCATATTTTATATCTACTAGGAACATGCCTGAAAAGAAACCATCACGCATCTGAGATTCTGGAACTGTTGAAAGTTCCAGATGCGATGTCCCCTGTCTCAGACCTCCGGACTGAGTGACAAGAGAGACTAGATAGCTAGATAGGCAAACTGACCTTTCTTCCTGTATCTACTCTTCTGCCACTGTCCTCTTTGATATGCAGATTGTGCTCTCAGGGATCAATTTCCCCTTCTCCTTCTCTCTCATTCTGGATGAAGACGTGCTCTCTATCTGCACACACCAAGAGAAGGATATGCGGTCCTCTCTTGGCACCATGAGGCAGATGGGCGTCTCGCCATCTGCTTCCATCCTTTAGCTAGTAAGTTAGTAATCTATCAATCTCTGCTCTTTCCTATCCAAAGTGTACTTCTCAAATAAAGAGAGAAGTATTTCTCTTCTAAACTTGCAAGGTGGCTCTGTGTAGCTTTGTAAGCTGTGGCTCCATGTAGTTTTGTAAGCTGAGTAACCTGGTAAAATGACACTCCTGCATTTGTAGCTTTATTTAAGTACTCTGCTAACTAATGGTGAGTGGACTAACCACACCAGTTAACCTCAACAGGAACCTCCACAATTGCCTCTTTATCTAGTAAGACAGATAATGCTTCAGATAGGCCTGGTGCTGTATTATTGGTCTCCCTAAGAGGTGACAGGGAGAAGGTATATGGAATGAGCATATGGGCTTTAATGGGCTTGCACAGGCTGCAATTGGGGAGAGGGAAGGAAGGGGAAGGAGGGCATAACGGGAGGCTGGTAGGGTAAAAGAAGAACCTTGAACACTGGCTGGGGAGGAGAGCATGTGTAGAGTCTGCTGAGTATGTGCTGCAGAACCACTTGGACAGAGGGACTAGATGGAGCATGCCCCCAGGTTCCCTCTACCCACATTTCTGAGGCTGGCTTAAGGCAGGGAAGGCTCGGGGCTGAAGGACAAGAGTAGGGAGCTCTCAATGGAGACAGCGGGAACTCCCACAATAGGATCTTGCCCAAGTCAGATACGCAGACAACATCATTACAGCAAGCACAGTCATTCTGGAAAAGATGTCAATAGGAGGACCAAAAGAAACAAGCTATGTAACAGCTAGAAGGCAACCGGAGTCAGGGACTGGTGTATCGGTCCAATCCAGGTGACAAAGCACAGTGGAAATCACTACTACGTATTATGCTCTCCCCGGGTCCTCCTCGGATCTGTGCAATCTAATACGTGCCTGGAGTTCCATGTTGGGAATTCAATTCCCAGGTGTGTGTGGATCCAATTTGGACTGGGATCACAGAATCCAAAGAGAAAGCCCTTCATACTCTCCGCCATACTGGGAAACAGCTCTAGTGGGTCAATATGTGCCCCACTGGGGAAACTTAGTTGAACCCTATCGATACATGCAGAGTCCCCATTGATGACAGTTCTAGATTCAGAAAATGGCATGGGAAGAAAGCATAAGCTACTTCTCCCCATGCCCCATGGACCTGATCCAAACAAGGTCACCACACACCTGGGAAAACTGAGTTTCCAGCTCAAGCTTGCAACACATGTCTAACTGCATGAACCTAGGAAGGGCACAGAGAAACCATAACATATCATTAGACACTAAGCAGTTAACATAAGGGGGAATGAGAACAGGAACTAAGGAAGCTTTAAGACTAACAAAGTTTTATTCAAGGTATAAGCCGTTGTGCGCAGGACTCGGACTCAGTTCTCAGATCTGTTTCTAATTTACTGCTATTCACAGATCTTACCAACCGCTTTAATCCAATCTCAGCTATAATCGCCCACTTACTTATGCGTCTTGACTCTAACTAGCCATTCCTAGCAACTAACCCCCTCCCCATTATGTAATGGTTGAGGACATCTTGTTTCACTGTATCTAAAGAAGTGTGCTTGCACATGAAAGCTTATATCTTGAATAAAACTCTGTTGGTCTTAAAGGTGCCACTGGACTCAAACTTTGTTCTGCTGCTTCAGACCAACACCGCTACCCACTTGAAGAAACTAAGGAAGGCACTGGACTGGAGTCAAACAGGAGCAAGCCAAGGACTGAGAAACAATATCCCAGCTATCAGCACAGGGCCCATGGAAAGACTGCTTAGACAAATACCTGAAGCCTAACGTGGAAGCTTTTATCTCTGACTATTTAAATAAACACAGTCACATAGACATGAGCAGAAACAAAGCAAGACAATGGAGAAGAAAGATGATGCTGACCTATGAGCCCAGGCTGACAGAACAGCCAGGCATATACTGTGAGTCTTGTTAGGGTAGACACTGTCCCATTTGTTATAATGACTGATAGAAAAAAAATACATGTTTTAATCACCTTTTGAATGTGACTCCAAAGATCATCCTGGATGGCATTTGCAAATGAAAACTCATTCATGTATGACTGCAATAAAACAAAAACCATTAAGCAATTCACACATTTTTAAATGAATCCATCCTTAGTCACTTTTCTGAAATTTTATTTGTGCATTTATTTTACCAAACTTACATTAAGTGCTTTGATGAATAGTTTTTCACTTACAAAGCTGGAAAGCATTCGGACAATGGAAGCCCCCTGAATTATTTAAAAAGGAAGAAAAAATGGTACTTATGAAAATATAAAACAGTTAATATTGACATTCACATTCAAAATATGCTTCTCTTACTTCATTATGTTGCACATTAGTTCTTCAAAACTGTTTTCCTTAGTCACATATAAAAAGCTTTGATTATTTAGGTAACTGAATATCTAAATATTTGACAAAAACTACAGAAGGAATTCTTTTTTTAACACACCAGACAAACAGGAATGCAAGGTCAGTGTACCACTAAAAGAATGTTTATGTACTAATAACAGTATATGAATGTTCCTTGTTTGCATCCAACGAAAAAGACACATCAATGAGTATCTGTATTCTATGGCTCCCTTTGTAACATTAATAAATGATGTACTAGAGAATAAAAGACACTTGTAACATCTCTTATGAAATTCTGTAAAGGACTCAAACCTGTCTTACAATCATGCTAATGCCTTGGAGACTCTCTTCTCTAATCACATTAAGCTAAGGACATGTGCTTGCTGAATGGCGCCTGTACCTCTTCAGACCCCTTTGTAAGTATAAGGCAAGAGGTAATTCAACAATTTCAAGTTTGCACCAATCTATGTGTACACATGATCACATGGGTAGCTTTGTGCACATAATATGGAAACAAGAACTACTGATTTGAATGGAGCATGCTTCCACATATTACTCCTAATTACTAATTTATCTCTCTCCATGGAGCTTTGATATGCATGTAGGTTCCCCTTGTCATAAAGGCTCTGCCAACCATTCATTTCAACAGAAACACCAGGGTCCTTAGTTTGTGTCATGTGATAAAATTATTGCCACAGTGATTTTCAGTGACAATTCAATGCTGTTTCTTTTCATGTGTAAATATTCTTGTACAATAACTTAGTACTTACCTTCTGATATGTGTGTTCATTAAATCGTTCATATAATGAAACTGTTTCTTCTGTTTCTTCTTTGTCTGATAAAGACCAAACTGGCATTTCAGCATCCATGTCCAGCATAGGTAATAAAACATTATGGGTAAAGGCTTTGTTCTGAAAATAACCATAAAATACTGAGATTTACCTAAAAACAAAAGATATTTCAAGTTACCCTTTTATTTTTTTTAATTTAAAATATTTCTGTGTTGCCTTTCCATCTAATCCAGGGTCTGCAAGGCAGCAAACATTAAAACAAGGGTGTCGAACTCATTTGTTACAAGGGCCGGATCTGACATAAATGAGACCTTGTTGGGCTGGGCCATGTGTGCCATAAAATGTCATGCCATGTAGTGGAGATATAAACTTTATAAAGGACACGAACACAAAGGTTTTTTTTTTTACTTAAAATAAAAACATGCTTAAAACATTAGCACTCTTACAATATTTTGTTCATTTAACAGTGTCTAATAACTGACACCTCTTGCTCTGGATTATGGCGTCAAAATGTCTGTGCTGTTGCAATCTTGAGTATGCTGTTCAGGTGTGTATCTGTAAGCTGCAAACCTATGATGACGCAGCAGCAACAGAACTGGAAGAAGCAGGAGAAGACAGCCAGTCCCACTGTGGGCCTGATAGAAGCCCTCCGGGGGCCTGATCCGGCCCCCGGGCTGCATGTTTAACACCCCTGCATTAAAACATTTCAGTCATTAAATACATTTAAAATACAGATATATTTGAAATAATAAAAACAATTAAATAAAAATATAAAACATAAAAATACAAACACCAAAAAATCCCCACACAAACAGCTACTAAGAGTTAGTGAGGGGAACACCAAACCAAACAAAAAATTCTTCAGCCACTGGCAGAAGACAGCAACAGAGGGAGACAGATGAACCTCCCCAGGAATGAAGTTCCAAAATTGAGGCCCCATGGGTTGCTACCAATCTAGCCTCAGATGATGGGGGCACCTGAAGCAGAGCCTGAAGCAGAGCCTCCAAAGATGACAGAAGCTGTCAGGCAGGTTCATATGGGAGTAGGCAGTCCTTCAGGTAAGCTGATCCTTGAATTGAGCCTAGTGTAGCAAATTGAGAGCCACTGTACATGAAGTGGTCTGTATGACCCATTCCAGTCAGCATGCCCAGAGTTATAGAGCTCACACATAATTCACTTTTGGTCAACCCTCTCCCTTGTGGTTCAGTCCTGATAATCTACCTGAAAATGCAGAATGGATGTTTCAAATAACGTGACCATCACTTTCTGATTTTAATCTCCATTTGAGAGGCTAATCAGACTAATTCAGCTAAGTGGTAGCACAGAAGCTCTGTAGACAAGACACTCAGGTCGCAAGATATTAGCCAAGCTGCAGAAGAGCGGATCAAGAGGGAACAATTTATTTATTTTATATCCTGCTTTTCTCCCTAATCAGGACCCAAAGCAGCTTTTCACATTGTTCTCCCTTCCTTTGCTTAACCTGCACAACAGCCATAATCTTGTGAGTTAAGTCAGCCTGATAGATTGTGACAGGTTGCTTTTAGCCCGAAGCCTTTTTTCCTTCAATTTTTCTGATGGAAAAACTTTGGGGAATCCTGAAAAAATTCATATGAAATATTTTCTCTTTTAGAAAGAATGAAATTCTTTTAAAGACAAGGTGGGCATGCTGTAGACATATACAGTTCTTAAATCCAAGATGCATTTCTGCACCTAGAAGGATACCTAAACTTCATGAGGGGAGCATGCAGGGCTTTCATTGCCTTCTGTTGTCCTTTGGATCTGACCCTTCCCTTGTGGTTTACCTTTGCACCTCTCCCTCAAACCACTGTGACATCTATACCCAGAAAGTAGCTTACTGCCATTCCTTGCTGGAAGGAAAAAATATCAGAAGGAGGTGGGGCAGAAGTTTCATTGAGAGGTGAACCACAGAAAGACGATGACAGCATCTAGCTGGAACTAAGGTACATGTGCTAACGTAGCAGACGGTATGTCAGCTTACAGTTTTATCTCAAATACTGGGTATATTTACAATTTTGACTGACTGTAGAAAACTAAAGCACATCTTTTAAATCCAATAAATATATCAAATATTGCAATTTTATATCCTAAGGAAGTTATAAATAACGGCTTTTAAATTGTTAAAGTACAAAATTTAGTTTAGACAAGAGGCGGGACCCGCGATACTCGCGGGGGGGGAGAGCTCCACACTTCTGAAGCAGAGGAGGAAGCAGCAGCAGGAAGTAAGTTCTCCCCCATCCTGCCGGTTCCCCCCATCTGCTCCACCTCCCATCCCCCCCTCGATCTCCCCCCCTTGGCTCTCTTCCCGCCCCCCGCCAGGCTCCGAAGCTTTTGGGGGGATTTAAGTATCCCCCAATATTTTTATCGCGTTTTTAGATTTTTGTGCACACCTGGGGACCGCCCCACATGTGCACAAAACTCTCCCTCCCCTCCAGGTGCCCCCAATGTGCGTAAATAAGTATCCGCACACCAGGGGGGCAACTTGGCTATTAGATATATAGATTTGATACAACAGTAAGTATTGCATATATTTAAATTTCCCCCCAAACTTCCATTTTCCCCTGGGGGGGGGAATGGGCTGGGGACTTTTTCCCCATGGCTTCAATATTTCTGGAAATTTTACCTCTCTACTGCCTACAACTGAACACTGTATTACAACCACATTTGCTCCAGTTCCTTAAACGGTAACTCACACCTGAAGGATTTTCAAACAGGTACTCTAAGGAGTACAGAACTGGTACACATACAAAATACCCTACCACAAGAGAGGCCCCAAAGAGATAACAATAGAACACCACTGACTATCAGACCCTGCAACAAGCAGGAAGGGCTCAAGTCAACGCAGCCCGCCATTTGTGGGGCCGGGTGGGGATGGAGAGGTGGCAGGATGCTGGGGTAGCTTGCAAGCGGCAAGAAAATTGAGACCACCCTTCCCCTCCCCGAGTCAATGGCAGGGCCCAGGGGCGTACGGGGACATGGAGGTTTAAAGGCTGAACTGGTACAGAACTGTACAAAACTGGTAAACATACAAAATACCCTATCACAAGAGAGGCCCCAAAGAGATAACAATAGAACATCACTGACTATCAGACCCTGCAACAAACCATATACACTCAAGCTAGACTATTATAGGACCCAGCTATACCACCTTGGGCTCATCTATTTATTCAAACTCCAATCCGATATTTATTCAGATATTTATACCCCACTTTTCTTCCCAACTTAAAGCAGCTGCTTACAACAACATTCTCCTTTCCTCCATTTTAACCTCACAACAAAAACCCTATGAGATAGGTTAGGCAGAGAGAGAAGGTGGTGGGTCTAAGGTCCTCCCCCTGCCCACCCACCTGGCAGGCTGAAGACAGGCAGCAGTGGCTTCTGCTCCTCTTCACCTGTCAGCAGCACCACCACTTTGGTGGAGTAGTTCTCACTGCTTCTCCTGACCCACTGTTCTCTAGAGGGGGAAAAGGATGAGCTGCATTAGGGTGCACAAGGTCACCTGACGACTCCTCCCCTCCCCATGGCCAGCAACCTTACATTGCCTGTGCCCGCACAGACAACTTGTTCCTTTGTTTTGAGGTTCTGTAACACCACATCATGTTTTTAAACTTCTCAAATTATTATTTTTTTTGCAAACCTGGGGAATCCCCCAAGTTTGTTGAAGGATTTCCCTTGTCTCCCTGGCCCTGATCCATGGATTTAAGTATTTGCAGATGGGAACAGGCTGACTATTAAATATCATGATATCCCATGAATTCAATGTATGGGTTGCTAGGCTTATAAATAAGTTTTCATCAAACTGAAATAACTACAGATAAGCACAGCACTATAAACCAGTCTACTGCATCTGTCCCGTGCAAATGCCTTTTATTAAAAAAATGATACAGAAAAGAAACATTGGCATTACTACAAATGCAAAGTAATCTGAGGCCCTATGTCTACATTTATGTCATTTAGGGTCTAATCCTAAATTAGTAGTACAGCTCCAGCACTAGCATTCACAACTGGTATTGCTGAGCAGTTGCTAAGACCCATATCCCAGAAAGAGGCCCACTACTGATCTCCTGGACCTGATGCCTCTTGATTCTTTCACTGATCCCAACAACATGAACAAGCAATCAGTAACAGGAGCCATGAGGGAGGAGCAGCAGGTACTACCTACCCCCTCATACTCCCTCCAATTGACAGTGGGGATTAGGCCCAACCTCACGGGCAGGAAGGAGCCCGCCCATACAGGATATTTCGACAGAGGACCTTCTAAAAATTGGAGACACCACTTTACAGCTTCCACGTATTTCAAGGGAGTGACAACTAAATTACATAACAGGGGGGTAAGTATGCGAAAAATGCTAATAATTTAAATTCACACCTACCAGAGGCACATTGGGTTCAATGTAGTATGAACACAGATATTCAAAGTAAGTGGCAAATCCCTCATTAAGCCATATGTCATTCCACCAATCCATGGTAACCAGGTTTCCAAACCACTTAAATAGGAAAGGAAGAACATATTCTTTCAAACAATTGTCATGATCCTATAGGCAAGAGACTAATTCAAGATTTTAATTAATATGCATAAAAAAGGGAGTGCTGTAATACCTTCCTGTTGGTGGGAATTTAGTAGCTGGAAGATGCTCCTTTAGAAAAGCCACAAAAAGTTATATATAAAAAAGAAGAAAAGCCACAAAAGGTAAAAGTCAGCATTTAAAAGGAAAGAGACTATGTTTTTATAACACAGCCGTGCATAATTCTCCCACTACTTGTATTTGAATTTAGAAGAGGCACTTATTTATGAAGAATGTCATAGCAAGACTTGTAATGCAGCCCTTCTGAAATTATAAACACTTATAATTTCTAATATTTTTTCTAGACATAAAACATGTTTAACTTAACTTGTACTTACCAAAATGAAAATGACAAATCAATGATAAAACAGTACAGGAAAATAGCTTCATCTGACATTGGCATATTATACATTATATGGCAGTTTATAGTTTACCATAATCTGATATATGTCTGACGATTTGTACAGTCATTATAGTTTTCTATGCTAACATTAAATTTGTCTATATATATATGTGTGTGTGTGTGTGTGTGTGTGTATAGATAGTATTTTATAAGTTATCATTAAGTACTACTTCTTTGTATGTCTTTAGCAAAAACAGACTCTAGCTAAGCAAATGTTAAAACGCTACCCTCCCGCTTCTAATCCCTTTTTCTTCCTCCCCCTTCTGGTTATTTTCTATGCCTATTTGCCTAACCTGATTTAAGACCCAGCTGCTGTTGCAAAATAAGAGGGTAAAAATCATTTAAGACATTAAATTGAACAGATTAAATTAGGTCCAGGTGGGCATCTGAGGAAGTGTGCCTTGCACACAAAAGCTCATACTTTGAATAAAACTTCGTTGGACTTAAAGGTGCCACTGGACTCTAACTTTGTTAGATTAAATTAGATGCAAGTTTACTAGCCAAATTAGTCTACATTTGTCACACTATTTATGAAAGTTTCTAAGTTAAAATTCTGTACCAGGCTTGTTTTGCCAACCAGCACATAAGAACATTGCTTATCAGACCTATACATGTACACTGCATTCACCCAAAATAAAACTAGTATGTGCCTCAGTGGAGTGGTGAAGAGAGGGTTAATAATTAAGTAATGGAATTCATTAACATACAATATGACTCTCTTTTTTTTTAAGGGTTAGGCAAATTGAAAGATATAAAGGCCGCCAGGGATAAGCAAGAAGGGGAAACCATCACCTTCATGGCCTGCTTGTGAGCTGCCAGGAGACCTGTCTTACCACGACTGGAAGCAGAAACCCAGGTCTCAGTCTGAACCAGCAAGGCAATTCATTATGGGCTTAGAAGGCTGTAGCTGTATATTTGGGGTGAGTAAAATGGTTAAGGACAACTGTCCTACAGGATCTGGGACCTGAAGTTGTCAGTGCAAATGTCTTATGATAGTGGCTATATGAAGGTCATATATGTGAAAATCACTTTTGTACAAAACTGTTTACTGCTTGTGGTGTTCAGAATAGCATTTTTTAATAATGTGACAAGATATGTACTTTTTTCTTTTTTATAGAAGCAACAGAAAAATGCATAACACCATACTTTGGTTCGTTATGAGGTTGGGGGCTGTTATGACAAGAAGGGCAAGGAGACAACTAACACTGTAAAGTAAAGGTAAAGGTTCCCTTGCTCGAAAGCCAGTCGAATCTGACTCGAGGGTTGCAGTGCTCATCTCCGTTTCAAAGCCGAAGAGCCAGCGCTGTCCGAAGACGTTTCCATAGTCATGTGGCCGGCAGGATTAAACACCAAGGCACATGGAACGCTGTTACCTTCCCACTGAAGTGGTACCTATTTATCTACTTGCAATTTCTAGGTTGGCAGGAGAACTAACACTGTACCGATAAGCAAAACTTATTCTTAACACTGGAAGGCTAAAGTATCTAATGGTTTGCCAGAAAGAAAAAAAAACCCATATCATTCATTAGTAAATGTAATACATGTAATTACATTTTTCAGTGAAAAATCTGCTGAAAGTCTGTTAAAATTGTTCACAGTGCTTCTATGAAACGGAATGATGTTACAAGAATACTTGATTGTCTTCTCTTGCCTTATGCCAGGACTCATTTTTATTACATTTCATTAGTTAAAACAATTGGCTACAGAACATTAGAACTGTTCTCTTGTTGTTAAAGGCACAAGATAAAAATACTTTAAATAAATAAAGTACTGAACATTTTACCACATGCCTGGTGGACTACTTCATGGCAAACAGTCTGGCGAATCATAGTTTTTTTTCCTGTGAATTTATCTTGTGGGCAATATAGTAACAATTCTTCCTGGAAAGTCATTAGCCCCCAGTTTTCCATAGCACCTGCTTCCAAATGAGGAAGCGCAATCAGATCTAAATTGGTTTAAACATAAGGGGGGAAAAGTGTCTTTAGTTTCAATATTAATATACTCTTGGCTTAGACCACCATATCCCAAAATCTGGGAGCTTTTGCTCATGGGATTTTATTATTTATTTATGCAGTACCCTCAATACACATGGTGTTCTACTGACTACAAGCCCCTGCCCCGAGAAGTTTAAAATTTGCCATAAGGGAGAAAACAAAGGAATGGAGTTGGACATGGAGATAAACAGGGAAGAATGCACAGGGTTAGGGCTGGGGCTCAGTAGCAGAGTGTCTGGTTTGCATGTAGAAGGTCCCTATTGCAATCCCAGGCATCTCCAGATAACAGGATCAGGTATTAGATGATGTGAAAGACGACTGCCTGAAACTCTGAAGAGCCTCTGCCAATATGAGTACACAAGGCTGAATTCAACAGACCAATGGTTTGATTCATCATGAGGAAACTTGATCCATTCACCCTTCTTCAGAGGTCTTTTCGTAGAAAAAGAGCTGCAGGAGCTCATTAGCATATAGTATGCTAACGAGCTACTAGGCTATTAACATAATAGCTCATTAGCATATGCAACGCCCCCTGACATCACCAGAAGTTATGTCAGAAGGGGAAGCAAAAGGGGGGGGAAGGCATCTTCAAAAGCCTCCCCTTCCCTAGCAGGGGGAGACGGGGGGGGGAAGCGAAGAAAGAACTAGAGTTCTCACTAGAGTTGGGCCGCAGGAGGAGGAAAGAAGGAAGGAAAGAGAGAGAGAAAGAGTAGAGAGAAGGAACGAAGGAAGGAAAGGGAGGCGGGGGGCTCTCCTGGCCTCCTCTGGGCAGCAGCGCTCCGGCGCTGACCCAGGGAAGCAGCGGGGGGGGCTCTCCTGGCGTCCTCTGGGCAGCAGCGCTTCGGCACTGGCCCAGGGAGGCGGGGGGCTCTCCTGGCCTCCTCTGGGCAGCAGCGCTCCGGCGCTGACCCAGGGAAGCAGCGGGGGGGGCTCTCCTGGCGTCCTCTGGGCAGCAGCGCTTCGGCACTGGCCCAGGGAGGCGGGGGGCTCTCCTGGCCTCCTCTGGGCAGCAGCGCTCCGGCGCTGACCCAGGGAAGCAGCGGGGGGGGCTCTCCTGGCGTCCTCTGGGCAGCAGCGCTTCGGCACTGGCCCAGGGAGGCGGGGGGCTCTCCTGGCCTCCTCTGGGCAGCAGCGCTCCGGCGCTGACCCAGGGAAGCAGCGGGGGGGGCTCTCCTGGCGTCCTCTGGGCAGCAGCGCTTCGGCACTGGCCCAGGGAGGCGGGGGGCTCTCCTGGCCTCCTCTGGGCAGCAGCGCTCCGGCGCTGGCCCAGGGAGGTCGCGGGGAGGGCACTCCTTGCCTCCTCTGGGCAGCAGTGCTCCAGCGCGGGCCCCGAGAAGGCAGCGACAGGCGTCCCCGGGGCCGCAGCGCTAAAGTGTGGGCCCCGGAAGGCCGGCGACAGGCTGTCGCGGGAAGAGCTGGGGGCGGGGCTTGCTGCCATCGCCATTTTGCCAGCTCCTGGGCTCCCGGAGTGGCACTCTGGCGCGCTCTGGCCCCAAAAGACCCCTGCCCTTCTTACAGGTACTTGGGCTTAATTTCCATAAGGAAGAAACTTTGAATGAACAAGTTGTCAGAACGGAAGAGAATCAGCTGAGAATAGTTACAAAAACTTAGGATGGGACAGAAATCAAGCAGGAAGGAATGATCACTGGTATCAAAGGCAGCAAATCATCAGTGTTTTTGCAGACGGCAGTTTTTGTGGAGTGCAGAGGATTAGATAGAAGCCAGATTGCGGAGGGTCAAGAAAGAAAGAGAGAATGTTGAGATGATGTGAATAAGGTCATGGAGTTTGGAGGCAAAGGGTAAAAGGGAAAGCAGACGGTAGCTGAAGAGGAAGAATGAGTAAAAACATGGCAGTCTGAGAATTAGGAAAAGAATGGCATGCTTGATGGAGCAAGGAAGGAGCCAGTGGAAAGGAACAGGCTGGTTATATGGTAGAGAGGAGGGAGAACTGAGGCATAGGCAATGGCACGGCGCTTATCATGTGAGATAATGCAGAAAGAGAAAAGGACTACAGGAATTAGATGTGCTTCAAAACATTTTTAAAAGTGTTTCAGAGGAAAGTGATTGTAAAAAGTGAAATGTTTAAGTAAGAAAAAGAAAGGTGACAGACTGCTACATAAGAAAGATTCCAGGAACAACCAGTCAGCAGCTAAATAAATAAATAAACAAAACTTTTTGGGGCACATTTAAGGGACTAACTAGTAAGCTTGTGGAGGTAATAATCTACTTGGAGGTAGTATACGTACACTGCCCAGAAAGATACCGCTTGCTGGCTGACACCATAACAAACCACACAGCTATTATGCAAACCTTTTGTAAGTTCTAAAATAAGCAACAAAAAGATAAAACAGCATTTCCAAGGATGCATTTTTTGCACTCTAAAATACCCCCACAATTTTTGTAATCATTTTTGAACATAGCTTTTAATAAAATCAGATCAACTTGCCTGTTTTTGAAAGAGGATAAGTAATGTTTAAAAAGCCTTCCATAAATGAAAAGACTGGTCCAGTGATATTTAAGGCATAGTCAGCACATCCATTCATAATTGCGTCTTTCTGAGCCCAAATCCGTATCTATCAGAATGAAGGGAAATTGTTATTGTGCTCAAGAACCCTACTTTGATCGAAGAGGAGAGTCAAATGGGCATTTGCAATTTGAAGGGCCTGTATGCAGACCATAAGCGAGGCTTAAAGCGAAGGAGTATCCTCCATGGTTATATCCTGATTAAGTCTGCTAGGCAATAAGGTGACGAGACTCTCTTCAAGTCGGGCAGTGAAAAGCAAATTGGAACAACCCCTATGATTGAAGGCAAGAATTTAAGCGTAACAGTCCTTGAAAAAGGAGAAGGGACTTTGTTTTGAGATGGCCAGATGGTGCCACAGGGAAGAAGAAAGAGGGAAACAGCAATGGAACAGAAAATGAGATTGTGTAATATCTACTGAGGGAGACTTATTGTTAATTTGCTTTTAATGGTGGAGGGGAAAATAATGGTTAAATGAGATGCCATTGTTCTCTGTAATTTGTGTCTAAGTTAAATAGCAATTCTCCTGGACTACTCTTCATATAGTCAGATTTGTTGGGATGTTTTTACAAGCTATGATGATGATTGATCACTCTCAATGTTAAAGAAAGCTTTTTATTATTGTTAAGCAAATTTTTTACAAGCTGTATGTGACCTCCAACCCTTGGGTTTTTAGTGGGTTTTCTTTTCTTTCTCCTATAGTGTGTAGATTCCCTCCCTAATTTTGTTGTAGTTTTTAGTAAATGCAAATAAAAAATCCCCTACGGGGGCCATAAAAAAAAAAGAACCCTACTTTCACTGACAAAAGCAGGTTGCTTACCAGTAACTGGTGATCTTCGAGTGGTCATCTGTGCATTCACACCAATGGGATTCAGTGCGCACGCGCTGGATCGATCAGTGCTGTAGCAAGCTCTTTTAATGGATTTTCGCACCAAGTCCCTCGGGCATGCCCAGGAACCCCACTGCGCATGCCCAGTGGGGGTGGGCGCAGACATCCCACCAGTTCCTTCAAACCGCCGCAAATCAACCCGTATTAAAAATGTAGAAGCTGACAGCAGCGGGAAAGGAGGGCGGATGGTGTGAATGCACAGATGACCACTCAAAGATCACCAGTTACTGGTAAGCAACCTGCTTATCTTCGACATGGTCTCTGTGCTTCACACCCATGGGAGATTAGCGAACAGTAGCCTACCTGGAGAAGGGTGCTGGCAGGTTTTTTACCGCGTAGCCGAAGATAGAATGTGATGTCCCATGCTGGTACTGGTGTTCGTACGGACGTCGAAGGCGTAGTGTCTGATGAAGGTATTAGGCGTGGCCCACGTAGGGGCTTTACAAATGTCTGGCAAGGGCACTCCCTGGAGGAAGGCAGTGGAAGTCGCGACAGCCCTGGTAGAATGAGCTCTGATAGGGACAGGTAATGGCTGTTTACCGAGTAGGTAACATAGATGGATCAGACCTACAATCCACTTTGACAGGCGCTGAGCCGTGATGCGAGTACCCAGCCTTGGTGAAGCATATGAGACAAATAGTTGTGAGTCTCGTCTAGTTGGGTGCGTTCTATTGAGGTAGAACAGGAGAGCCCGCTTCACATCTAAAGTGTATAATAATTTGTTCTCCGCTGATGTTGGATTTGGGAAGAAGTCAGGGAGGAAGACCTCCACCTGCAGGTGGAACTCTGACACTACCTTCGGCAGGAAGGAGATGTCCGGGACGAGGCGGACTCCGTCTGGCAGAAAGGACAGGTAAGGGGTATCATGCCGGAAAGCTAATATTTCTCCCATTCGTCTAGCCAAGGTAATGGCAATTAAAAAGGCCGTTTTCCATGCTAGAAGTTTGAGGTCGCATGTTGCAAGCGGCTCAAAGGGCTTCCTCGTGAGCTGGCGGAGAACTAGAGGAAGGTCCCAGGGAGCGACTGGAGTTTTGACAGGAGGGTAGAGATGCAATAAACCTTTTAAAAAACGTTTTGCAATTGGATGTGAAAACAAAAGTACATCCGTCAACTGGTACATGGTAGGCCGAAAGAGCGGCCAAATAAACTCTCAACGATGAATGGGAAAGTCCCGAGTCAGGAATCGAAAAACTCTTTCGAGACCCACTGAGGTGGCTCGAGGGGCATCATCACCTAGGGAAGAACAGAACCTTCACCATTTATAATCGTAGGACCTCCGCATAGTAGGCTTCCTTGAATTCCACAGGACATTCGCTACGTGGGCGGAGAAGCCGGTGATGTTATTCTCCATGCCGTCAGTTTCAACTGTGGTATGTTGTGATGGAGAAGAGGGGAGTCGGGGAGGAGGAGAAGGTCCTGAGCCAGAGGGAATTGATGGTATATTCCTTGTGATAGCTCAAGGACTGTTGAAAACCAAGGTTGTCTCGGCCACCATGGTGTTAGTAAGATGCAATCCGCGGCATCTCTGAGTAGTTTGCAGACCACTCTCAGAAGCAGAGGTAAGGGAGGGAACAGGTAAAGAAGTCCCGTGGACCAAGGGTAAAGGAGACCATCTCCCAGAGATTGTGGATCCCTGCCTCCTCAACAGCAGAACAGAGGACACCTTTTGTTGTTTCTGGTGGCAAAGATGTCGACTTGGGGAGCTCCCCACATGTGGAAGAGTGGGAGGAGGGATGTTGGGTTCATCCCCCACTCGTGAAGGCTGAGTCCTGCTCGACTTAGATGGTCTGCCTGCACGTTCATGTGTCCGGGAATGTGAGTGGCCATGAGGAAAATGTTTTTGGCAATGCAAAGCTAGCCGTTGTGATCATATTCTAGCCGTTGTGATCATATACCACATCAATGTCCTAATTGCTATATTTACTCCCTCCATTTTCAGCCACAAAAGCAGTATCTCCGGTTCCTTTTTAAATTTACATTTTACATTTTTTTCCATTTCTGCATGTATCTCAGCCCAGTATTTTTTTGCTTTTTCACAAGTCCACCACATGTGATAAAATGAGCCCTCTGCTTTTTTACATTTCCAGCATTTGTTTGACATATTACTATTCATATTAGCAATCTTCTTAGGTGTCATATACCTGTTTGGAGGGTTTGGATTGTTTGGTGCGGGAAGCTTGTTGTCCGGAACCGAATTTTGGTTTCTGGAAGGTGGGCTTTTGGCCACCCGTCTTGTTCTCCATCGTGTGTCTGGAGACTGATGAGTTGGGGTACGCCTCTGCCAGGACCTCGACCAGGTGCGTGGACGGTATTGGTTGTCTTGCAGAGGATGAGACTCCTAGAGCTTGAGATGCCTTTATGCTTTTATCTAACTCTTGTAGAGTAGAATCCGTAGTGGCATTGAAAAGCCCCAGGCCATCGAAGGTAAGGTCTTCCACATAAGATCTGGTATCTATTGGCAGATTAGTGTTGCGGAGCCAGGAATGTCTTCTGAGAGCTATTGCAGAGGCCATAGTTCTGTAAGACACCTCGAGGACATGTTTAGTAGTGTTGAGCTGTTGTTTTGCCAACACCATGCCTTCTTTTTGTATGACTCTGTCATCTGGGAGGTGGCTGAGAAGTTCTGAGAACCGTTCCCAGAGAGTATATTGATATCGGTTCATACAGGCCAGGTAATTAGTGGCCTTGACTCCTAACGCTCCCATGGAGTAGAAGCGCCTGCCAAAGGCATCTAATTTCTTACCTTCCTTGTCAGAAGGTGCGGAATGAGTCCTCTTGGATTTGGAGGAAGACGTTATCACCATCGAGTTAGGCTGAGGGTGCGAGAAGAGGAATTCGGCATCTGCCTCTTGGACCCTGTACATGTGGTCCAGTCGTCTCGTGGACACAGGGGCAGACGGAGGTTTTAGCCATGGTGTCTTCGCCGTTTGCAGAAAAACTGAAGACATAGGCAATGCCAAGGTGGAAGAGGTATCAAGCTGAACTATATCATAAACCGCTTCTGTTGCCTACGGATGTTGCTGGACAACAGAGAGGCCTAAAGAGTGGGCCATTGTTTTGACCAAATCTGTGTATGACATAAGGTTGCCAGATGGGGATACGGGTAAGTCCTCAGCGACATCCTGGTTGGGGGATTTATGGTCAGGAGAGGTATGAGCCTCAGATGCCTCCGTATTTGAGTCCTATGAAGTCAGAGGAGTCTTGTTGTGGTATTTGGACCGATGTGTCCTGTTGACAAGTTAT